CTTTGTTCTTTATAAATTGCTCTTGTTTGCCATATTTCCATGCTGTTTTCTTCGTTGTATCACAAAGTTGTCTCATATTTCCTCCTCTTGCAGCTTTTTCCTATATTATTGCAAGGTTTTCCACGTATTTCTGCTTGTCGAGTTTAATGCTCCTCTTCACTCTTGTTTGCTTCTGTGCATTCAGCCTGTGTCTTGACTTCCTTTGCTCTTGTTCGGTTGTTGTTAATTGCTTTCTTCGTGTTCGTTCAGCTTCTCTCTTTGTTCTCACGTCTTCGATCGACCTTCAGGATTTTTTGGTGACGCAAACACGATTGATCTGGTTATCTGTAGTGTGATCCTGTGAGACCCATATGGCTTTGTTTGCGCTTGTGGGGGGATAGTGCCACCTATAACGATTTTGTTGAAGGCACATACACTTGAAAACCTCTCGCCATTTTCGTTCCATTCTTCCAATCAGTCTATGTCGTCCCACAATATCTCCATACCCGGTGTTATCTATTCTAACTTTGGCGTTCAGGTCTCCTATCATGATGGTCAGGTCGTTTCCTGGGCATTTCTCCACGATCGACTACAGCCTCTCATAAACTGATCTTTATAATCTTCATTGCCATCATTGGTTGGCGTATAGCACTGGATAACATTCATTGTGATTCCGTTTCTCCTTGTTTTAAAAGATGCTTAGGTGATCCTGGATCCATGAGTTTCCCATCGTCTAAGTGTTTTACGTGCTTCTTTGGACGGCATCAGAGCAACTCGTGTGTGTGTGTGTGGAGCATTTTCCTCTTCGCGACCCGAGTACAGCGAAATCTCTCCCGAATCTAACCTTTTCTGTCCAGCTTGAATCCCACTGATTTTACTGATTCTCAGAACCATCAAGTTGTATTTCCCATTTTTGCAGCTATTTGGTTAGTCCTACCGGTCTCCCTTATTTTCCGGGCATTCCATGTACATATTTAAATTGTTGCTCTGGTTGTTAGAAGAGGCACCAGCCTCATGACTTTCGAAGAATCTCGGCTTTCACCAAGAGGCGTCATAATTCTTCTGAATGAATATTCTTCAACTTCCAGATCAGAAGGGACGAACTGAGCGAAGAAAGTTCTTTTCAATTAGTTTTTCATCATGGCTCTACACTAATATATATATGATTTACAATAATGATATAATACTCATCGAGTGGATACGTTATGTAATAATTACATAGTGACATTTAAATTAACATTGAGTAATTGGAAGAAAGAGGATTATTAATATTCAAAGTAGTTAATAAATCAAGAAGTTGCTACGTTGCATAATATATGAAAAGGAGAGAAGGAACAGAGTTTTTTAATAGATGGTCAGTAGAATAGTATTTACGTAAGAATCAAGAGATGAATGTTGAAAAATTATAAAGTTCAAAAACAACAAAAACAAAATTTGAAAACTTTTTTAAAAAAACCGAATGGAAGAAGTATGAAAAATATCCAGACCACCTTTCCTATTGAGTGCAGAGGGATTTAGCGTAATGTGAAGCACTTCGGCTACTCGCTTCTAAATTATTTTGATGTTTTCAATATCAATTTGGTGATTATTTACAATAACATGTACTGATATTGCTAGTTTAATCTGTACATTTTCCAATTCTATATGATTATTAGGTCTTTTTATGTAACTTAAGTGCTCTTTGGCACGAGTCGAGATTTCACGGGAAGACTCTCAAATATAGAGCGCATCGATACAGACTGACCAGTAGACACAATGTCGTGTGGAAGTGAACTGGACCGTATCTTTTATTCTAACTACAGCGTTTCTTAGAGCGTTGATTGTCTTATAGGAAGCTTTAATTTTGTACGTTTTCAATAACTATTGTAATTCCTCCGTCGTACCTTGGCGGCAAGGTAAAACCACAGTACTAATCCAAGACCTTTCATTATTTATTTATTTTAACACATAGATATTGGTACAAGGAGGCACCAAATACATATGCGCCACACAAATCTCATTCGATGTGTGAAGGCTGCGATACTGCCCGGGTGCCCAAACCGAGGCAGGTGGTTTTCTTAGGGGGCCACACCCGGAGCCTTTGACCTGAAGGTCTGATCCACAAGGCAGTGGAGCATCGTAAGGAGATGCAGTCCCATGGAAGCCGGTGACCAACAATTGGTTCATACGCCTTTTGCTCCCGCAGGATACTGGAGCCTACGTGCACCATTGATTTGGAATCCGGTTAAAGCGCCGGACATTCGCTTTTTGTCCTCTCATTTTTGTAAACACCCCCGCCACGAGAAGGCAGTGAGTAGGACTTCCCTGGCAGAGGCTATATACGCGTGGTCATGTGAGGGCATTTCGAGAGGGAGAGCGAACTCTCCCCACTCTCGGCCGTACCAGGGCATTTGGGGGCAGAACTTTCATTAAGATTGCTATTTACAGATGGACAATTTTGTATTGATGTTTTTTATAATATTCTTAGGGAAAATTTTAAAACGTAGGATGTTTATTGAATTCTCTTTTCCTTTTAGTTTGTCTCTTCTGAAGTAATAATCCTGGTTGCTCTTCTGAAGAGATCCAGGGCTAGGGAAATTTTCGTACCGAATGGATGTGCAGGGTTAAAATCGATATACCGATTAGAATGTGTCGGTTTTCGGTATATGGTTAGATTGAGACTATCATTAGAATTACTTTTAACTGAACTGTCGAAGAAAGGTAGTTCACCATGCTCATCTTCATTTCGAAAGTGAATTTGATGTGTTCTGAGAGCGTGTTTATGTGTTTGGAGAAATTGCTAACAAGTCTTTTTAAAGAGGACATTTGTGTTATCTATATATCTGAGCCAGATGAGTGGTCTGATGGTACTGGCAAGAATAAGCGACTCAATGTGGGAAATAAATAAATTTGCAGCAATTGGGGATACTGGATGTCCCATAGCTACTCCATTCGTTTGTTTATATAAGGTCCCTTCGAAGCTGAAAAGTGTTACATTTAAGTAGTTTGAGGGATTTCATGATTAAACTAATGCTTAATGGACATCTGCGAAATAGAGTAATATCATTCTCTACTAAATCATTAACGAAATCAAGACATTTATCGACTGGAATGCTGTGTATAAAGATACATCATACCATTGTTTCGTTCTTGTTGATAGATAACTCTGAGATCTTTTATTTGAATTCATATGAATTCTTTACGACATTGATTAGCTTGTGTTGAAGTGGCATTAGTAAAGACTGTTGAAGCTAATTTAGCTTAAACACGGAAATCATTTCGTTTAGAGTTTCTAGCATGTGACTAGAACGATTCAACTTGAAATGATAAATTAACACAATATATGAGGTAATAATGGTCTAGGAAACGATAAATTTATGTTTGATAAACTAAATAATCTAGAACAAAACATTCATTAGATGTTATCTTAGCATATTTATGAGTAAGAGAGGACAATATTAAATATTTCAGCACAATTTACTACTTAAACCGCACACTAAAATAATTACATGCTTGACCAGGACATTACTATTTCTGAATAAGTTAATATAATATTTTCACTTATTTTAAAGAGGTTATTTCTCAATATATGTTATCTTGTAGACGAATTCTCTCCACCTAGGATAACGTCGAAGAGTTGGATATTACGAGAGTCAGAGTGTGAAGTACAAACAAGTAATGATTTATGTATGTTTCTCACCACTTGTACAAGGAAACCTATTTTGTATACAGCTAGTAATAATAAATAATCTGTAAATATGAAATATATATATCCTAATAATTCATCCAACTTACCGTTAATTTCCTATACTATTAAATAAATAATATATTTGTGATATCCCAATGAGTAGAAAATTAGATTTTCTGACGTTTCGTGGTTTAGTGTAAGTCACTTCTTCAGAGAATATTAAAATTAGAATTAATCCAAGTTTAAATAGTACAACGGAACAATAAGAATAGTATTTGATCAATCAAAAACATGTCTGAACAAGTTAATCAAAGGTCACGTATTTCATGCCCAATGATGGAGAGTTCAAATGCTAACTCTACAAATGATATCAACCTAATGTGACGTAACGATACACGGCAAACAGTACTTCAAACGTTATGTCCTATGGCCCGTCAAACATCACGTGACAAGACCAGAACACCGACTTATATGACCTTGTCCATGTGCTAAACCAATGATGCGTTATACAGCACGAATAGCCTTGAGTCAACTCCGAGTCCTTATTGGTCCTCACCTAACCCAGCCCGTTCAGTCCAGAAAACAATTTCAGACTCTTACTGAATCGTATGATTCAGATATACTAGGCTTATATACAAGCAGATCAGACTACATCACACCATAAAATGAGGAATAATAATTAAGCAAGATTAAGTCAAAGTGTTTGTGTGAGATAATGCAACTGACAAATCGGGAATAAGTTAAGAGTGGTAAGTCGTATTGCAGTAGCCAAAAGGTCAAATGAAAGCTCATAATAAATGGGATACGAATACATATATTCTAGTTTCTTATAGTTACCCAATAAAAATAAATAAATAATTCCTAGCAGTTACCATTCATTTATTCTTCGGATGTAACAAACGTTATTAATATACATACCTAACAAGCTGAGATTTTGTATATAGTTTTATTTTACCTACAAGAAGTGGTATTACTGTACTTGTTTGGAAATATAATCTATGTTAATGATCTTGTAACAAATGATGTAACACTGAATCAAAAAGTAACCAGCCAGAAAAGAGCAAAGGTTATGAAGGGAATTAGGAATTTCGGACTCATAATAGTAAAACAAACTGAATTGTAAAACTATAAAGAGCATTTAAGCGGTACTTATCAACAAGATATAATGATAAATAGGTATGAAAAAAGAATGATTTGCAGCAATTATCGTGAACATAAGAAAGTAACCTTGTCACGTCACTCAAATATACAATTTCAGTCATTTATAATATAACTCACTCTAAAATACATTCATATAAATGTCTATACAAAATTGAAGAAAGAAAAAACAAAGATGAGGGAGTCGAAAACATTTCTAGATTTGAAAATGATGTTCCATTTTGAAATCATTAATAAGTTTACGGTGCGTAGAGACTTTTAAACCCAATTGATCAATTTGATTAATAATGTGATCAGCTTGTAATAATAACTGGTTCACAAATTCTAGTTTTTTCGACATTAAGTTAACAACGGCTAATTGTAATATTGAATGTATTAGAGTATACACAATTTCATGCATTTCACGTTGTTTTGAAACGTTTGATTTCAGTAGTTCATTATCGTTAGAGTAATTATCAATGAAAAATTGATACTTGGTTTGACTTGTTTGAATAACTTGTTCAAGAATACGTTGAGACTCTGTAAATACATTTAAATCAGCATAGATAACGCTAATATCAATTAATAAATTTAAGCAGTTTGCATGGTCTGAAGGATAAATTTGACTGGCAATTTCATAAGCTCGTTGAGCATAAACTAAAGCTTCTGTTTGTCTTTGATTAGCAAAGAGAAATCTGTGAATTAAAAATAAATATGTATGTAATTGGACGCAATTTTCCATAGCTATGAATAATACCCATTGAAATTTATCCAGAAATATGCAAAAAGCGATCCTCGTACAAAATACGATGGAGTAAAAAGGAAAACCTGCTTCTTACACTTACGTTTCAAAGGTGATGAAATTGCTGGAATAATTAATCATAGAATAAACTCTGCGTTGAAAGTCAACTACCCAGCAGCAAAACTTATGACAGTATGGCAAACGAACTGCTCACTTCAACAAACCAAAATCGACAAGCCCTCTTTTCTTAGTAGCTCCAACTGCATCTACCATTTTATATGTACGTGCCAAAGCACAAACATTGGAAGAACTGAGAGAAGAGTGCATGTCCGCATTTCTGAGCATGTTCCAAAAAACTTGAGTCTGCGAGGGAATAAGGCCTTCAACAGCGCAATAGCTCGACATCTACTTGACACCGGACACACCATCAACATTCCGCATACTTTCAAAATTATCAATAGACAAATAAGTATGACCACCCTTCGTTTTGCTGAAGCCATCATGATCAAAAAACTTAAACCTGACTTATGCATCCAAAAAGAGACTTTAATTAACTTATCACTACCCTGGTAACCCTTTTTTTATTATTTATTTATTTTAAAATATTTATACTCCTCCCCTATTACATACTTCTTAAACTACATTATTATTCACACATTTCCACCACCTGATCCTCTTAAATTATTTTAACTTTTCAAATTCTATTTAATTATCATTACGTAACCTATCTTATGATTATTCAATTCCATTATTACACCACCCAACCTGAATTAATTCCTTTTGACCTCTGACCTGTTCTAGCATATATATATATATATATATATATATATATATATATATATATATATATATATATAATTATTATTGTAACCCAGTTATTTACACTCGGCTATGTCAATTGTTTTCACTCTATCTCAATGTAAAAATTCTATCACATTTTTGGTTTGTAAGCAGCTGACGAGAAACCTCGAAGTAATATGAATTCATACTATTCTGCACCAATATTTGTTCTTGCTTTATTTAATTTGAAATTTGATTTATGGTTAAAAGTGTACCAAATTCACGCTTGTTCTTGACCGAAAAAGACAAACATATTGATTTACAGAATATACAGCTTGCATATAAACCAATCACTTATTATTTGTTATACGAGTAGCGTATGTATGGCTGACATTTCGTTGTATACACGCCTTAAGAACAGCTTTAAGTAAGCTTTGTAAGATTTAATATTATTCATTGAACATTCTAGCAAGACATAATAAAATGTGCAAAAATTTGGAATTATTGGCTAGCTACACTTTGTTTACTAGATTTACCGTACAAATGAAACATTATTTGTTTCAATTTGTATTTTATTTATTTAAACACATACACATTGGTACAAGGAGGCACCAAATATATATGCGCCACACTTCATTATTCGATTAGTATGAGGGCTTGAATACCGCACGGGTCCTCAAACTGAAGCAGGTGGTTTTCTCAGGGAGCTACACTCCGAGCATCTGACCTAGAGGTCTACTCCACAACGCAGTAGAACGCCGTTAGTAGATGGAGCCCCATGAGTCAACCCAATGAGTCAGTCGACATCAAAACAATGATAGCTCAACGATTCATTACGAAAAAAAACTAATCTCGAAACCTAGACATTTGATGCTTTTGGTCATTTAAATCCGGAATTGGTAAATTACGCATCCAGTAAAAAGCCCCTAAAATTGATTAGCTCAGAGGATGCAATCAAATTCATTGTTGAATATTTCAATTGACGGCTAAATATTTTTACGATAATTTAACTTATACTAACAGCACGGGAAGAATCATTAAAAAATATATACCAACCTAAACTGGACAGGCCAAATGACCATGAAGAGTCTCATTTAATTGTATTTACAAAAACCATTAACAGGACTTACTTGGCGAAATAATTACAACACATTCCCAGTAAAGCTTTTTCATTTATATGGTCGATACTTTCATCGAAAGTTGTTAACTTTTCCTCTTGGTTTTCTATACAAAATCGAAAACCCTTCTCAGCATCATCTAATCTACCAGACTTTTCGAAAAGCATGGACATTTTAAGTGACAGCTCAATAAACATTGCATCATTCGGTGATATTTTGGCTGTTAAACAATCCTCCATTGTCTGTTTAATTAATTTTTCTGCTTCTAAATAATTTCCCATAAGGAGATTTAGATTTGCCATCTCGGAACATATCCGTGCACGTTTATCGATGTATTCGCGATTGGTTAACTCATGATTTTGATAAGACTGGTTGACAAACCACAGTAGTTCATGTAATTTATCATTTGCCACACTGAATTCACCCGTAGCTATATGAAATAACGAATCATTGAATAGTTGTTGACACTGTTCGTGTATATCTTTCTTTTTCCATAATTTCAATGGCCACCAAGTAAATGATACAGTAAAAGACAAAGTTTTGGTAAATGTTGGCGAAATTCGAGGACTGGATTGAGTACACAATAAACTGAGAAATAAAAATAAATGTTTTAGAGTTTAAATAACATGGGTTTCTCTATTTTAACAGTAACATATTTAACAAACTTATTACTTTGTAGGCAAAGTGACTTGCTGTTCGTTACATCGAAGAGTAATAAAACTATAGATAGTAAATTTAAAGTCCGACAGCGGAACTATAGTGATGACTGTATTGGTATATAGTAGAAGTAAGACGTTCCCCACGAATAGCCAGTATCTCCATCAATGCGGCCTACTGAAAACGAGAAAAGAGACCCGGAAAGGCCGGACCGAGAAATAGTACATCTTATTTCCGGTGCTAATGTTGAGGTCTTAAAAGTAAGGAGCTAAGACATCGAAAACTCACGAAGTTGCGAGTGATGAGCCTGAAGCAGAAATTACTCAAGCTATGAGGATACAATTTATGTACCGCAAAACTTTCCCCCTCAATCAAGTTTCATTTTCAGGGCCCTTGGAAAAGATACTTTCTTAGTGTCTGTGTGTGAGCAGGAAGTGATAACACGGTTTTACATACTTAAGTAGAATGACTGCTGTGTTTTGTAGAACTACCCGGCAAGTTATTACATCAATATGAACATCATTTACCCACAAGTTGGGGTGAATTTAATAACAAAAAGCAGGTGCTTCAGTGATAAAATGCCTCCTTTAGACCCTCCCCCCACTTCAGAAAAGTTTCAAACCTCTCCTTAACCATTCTGATTTCGGGAGTTAAATAACATCATTAAACACTAGACAGTGCTCTTAAAAGTTACATGCAGAAACCCGCATTCAGCGAACAAAGTACATTAACGTTACAACGTACAAGAAATTTGCCGTAGTACTCCTAACACGAACAAATGAAGTGATTTTAGTAAGTCTTAGCAGCCGTTCTCATTGATATGAAACTACAAAAACTGGGGTTCATTTGGATGTATTCATGCATCCACAAAAGTATAAGGAAATCCTAAAAATGATAGGCAATCAATTAGGAGTTCATTTTAACAAAATAATATTTTTGGCTGAAGGTAGAGACAGACAGTTCCATTTAAAACATAAAGTTCGACATACCTGTAAACACGATAACGATAAAACCTCGTAAACCGTGAAATATATTTCAGCATTTTAAACTGATACACGACCAAACTTCATTTCACCACAATCTTCAATACACCTGCAAATATTTAAAACGTATTGGTAAAATATTTGATTAAAAAGCGTAAATCGGTACATACAATCAGATTTTGAAAATTAAGCATTTAGTTCTACTTACAGATTTTGTGAGGCTGCATTCGGAATATAGGATTCAGACAGAGAATCCTTTTTGAAACCAATTCAATGGCGAGGAATCAGAATGCTAAATGGTCTCTCGCCTATATTATGAAGACAGACGGAGACGAATTAACCTAGTTCTTTTATTTTGCCACAGGTTATAGGCTGATTTGATACTAACTTACCGAACACAAACGATTATTTTAGTACCGTTATGTCTTATATTTTTCTTCACTCTAGGACTGCTCATCTGAGAGGACATTGTAAGAAGGTTCAAAAACCGAGACCATATCGTCTACCTCCCGAGTCCCGTTTCTTGCACCGAGTAATGAATTATTGGAATTCTCTACCAAAACACGTAGTACCAGCACCTGTTTAAAATTCCAAAGCGATCGCTTTGAAATCATAAACTCAATCTTAGATCGAGTTTTCACAGTACTGGAGATCGCAAGGGTAAACACAGGTCGATTGACCTGTCCTTATGAAAACAGGAGGTATGCCACTGAAGACTGAAATACACGAGACTATAATTTATGGACGGACCAATTAGACATAACGGGACTTGGGTTTTGGCGCGAAATTCACACATCAATTTGGCTACATAGCGTCTTGGCATTTCAGCTGACAGTTCGTAATAAAAACCATAAATCGAATTCCTAACCATAACCATCAACTGTAAATCATGATTCTATTCCCTCACACTTTTACAACCCTCATTCAGTCCGCGTTTGTAGGTGGACACTCACAATGTCACTTAAGCGTCGACCAAAGGTCGTCCACAAGTTATAGATTCACCAGTGAGAAAATAAACGACATCAAAGTGTAGTCGAATTGGGATTACCAATTGTAGCGTGGCGTCGAGTTGAGATTAACTATGAACACCGCTACCAAGATATACGTGCCAAATAGATCAGAAGGCGTAAGAAGCTCGTTCCAAATGACTCCATAAAATCCCCGAGAAGCCGAATACCAGAAGGCAATTAATGGACCAAGTCGAGGTTTATTAGCTGGCGATCTCGTGGCATCGAAAGGATACCGAGATCGTGCCAGGACAAAAGCTTGGTTACAGAAGGTAACCGAATTCGCGCGAAGTTACAATCGAAGTGTAAGTAAAGAATGGAAGCACAAAATAGCTGTCATTAGCACAGTCAAACAAAAGCACGTTAAAACAGTCACTGGTACACTTGGTTATAATAATAATTGTTTTTATTAAACCAGTCGTGTTCTCGTGATAAATGTGAGTCACTACAGGAGCCCCCCGCTAGAAAGGGTTTACACTTTCGATAAATAGCGGTTTGAATCGTGGGACTGATCGGCTGACGAGCGATTGTAGGACGGAAAGATTGGCGAACAGGAAAGCGATCGTTGATCGTCGAGTTGCCAACGAAGGTCGTTTTCGGAGAACAGTACCAGGAGCGATGTGTTGTATTGATTGCTCGAGTTGGCATGCTACACGAGAGTGGTTTGTATCCAGAATCTGAAGAGGGCGTTCGTAGGGTGCGGACCAGAAACGCTGCAGACGAAGGACGAAACCACGTTGAGCCAAAAGACCAGAAGCGACCGTAACGACCAAGTTCGAGACCAAGCGTGTGCCAAGCGTTCGAAACCAATATATCGACTGAGTGCGTTGACAAGAGCATGGGTGGCCAATCCAGCTTTCGCCAAAGTTGACTGAAGTCGACGGAACCAAACGGAGATGGTCGAAGGCGTGGGCTCAGGAAACAAAAAGAAAATCAAAAAAGAAGAGTGTAGCATACGTGTAGTATAGGAATAATCCTACACCGTATCGGTTGTTGACTGTGCGACTATTCGCGGAAGCGTACGGGTAACCGTACTCGGCGACCGGAACGTGAGACGGCAGTCTCGTTCGCGTCGCGTGAGCCTGCAATCTCATCCGAGGTCAGAGGCGGCGTGGTCTGCTGATCTGGACGTGAGACTATCGTCTCGTCCGTAGACGGTGCAGATGACGCGTGCTGTTGACCGGGACGTGAGAATGAGGTCTCAGATGCATCTAGCGTGGGACCTGAAGATTTAAGGATCCCGCTAGGTTTAATAGGTCTAGCATTGAATCTCAGGTTACCAGATAGGGCACTGTCATCGACGTGTGCTGGTTTGAGACGATCAACGCTGACGATCTCGACGCGTCCATGTCGATCAACCTTGAAGGTCTTTTCGTGACGAGCGATCACGTGAAAAGGGCCTTCGTAAGGTTGTTGCCAAGGTTTGCGTACCGAATCTACTCGTACAAAAACATGTGAACAGGTAGATAACTCTCGAGGGAGAGCGACCTGTCGATGTTGTATTCGAGTTGACACCGGAGACAGCGTTCACATAAATGCAGACAGTCGACGGACGTTGTCTGATTTACCGAAATTAGGTCTGCTCCGTGGTGTGAAGGATTCTCCGGGCAGACGCAATGTCGTGCCGTATACAAGTTCAGTGGCGGAACATTGGATATCTGCCTTTAAGCTCGTTCTCGCCCCTAAAAGAACGAGCGGTATGGTTTCGTGCCAGTTGCCGTTTTCGTGTGCTCGTAGAACACTTTTAAGTTGGCAGTGAAACCGTTCAACTTAACCATTTGGTGCTGGGTGGTAGACGGAGATGCTTATGCGTATGCATTCCGTACCAAGCAGCCGGGTCAGCGAGGAGAATCGTTAATAGGGTAACATTTCTCGAATAAAGCGTGGAATTCATCATCACGCGAATAAAAAGTGACAAGGATTCGGTACACATACGTGTGAGTCTATTATATTAATACTATTCTTATCGTTATCCGTCATGTCGCGTATATCATATATTAAAAAATATGAAAATATACGACAGACGTGGATAGATAAATCATAGACTCACCGAATTGGCTTCTTTGGAAGATTTGACCAGAAGCTGAGGCGTGTTCCAAAATACGGGTCACCAAATGTAGTCGAATTGGGATTACCAATTGTAGCGTGGCGTCGAGTTGAGATTAACTATGAACACCGCTACCAAGATATACGTGCCAAATAGATCAGAAGGCGTAAGAAGCTCGTTCCAAATGACTCCATAAAATCCCCGAGAAGCCGAATACCAGAAGGCAATTAATGGACCAAGTCGAGGTTTATTAGCTGGCGATCTCGTGGCATCGAAAGGATACCGAGATCGTGCCAGGACAAAAGCTTGGTTACAGAAGGTAACCGAATTCGCGCGAAGTTACAATCGAAGTGTAAGTAAAGAATGGAAGCACAAAATAGCTGTCATTAGCACAGTCAAACAAAAGCACGTTAAAACAGTCACTGGTACACTTGGTTATAATAATAATTGTTTTTATTAAACCAGTCGTGTTCTCGTGATAAATGTGAGTCACTACAGGAGCCCCCCGCTAGAAAGGGTTTACACTTTCGATAAATAGCGGTTTGAATCGTGGGACTGATCGGCTGACGAGCGATTGTAGGACGGAAAGATTGGCGAACAGGAAAGCGATCGTTGATCGTCGAGTTGCCAACGAAGGTCGTTTTCGGAGAACAGTACCAGGAGCGATGTGTTGTATTGATTGCTCGAGTTGGCATGCTACACGAGAGTGGTTTGTATCCAGAATCTGAAGAGGGCGTTCGTAGGGTGCGGACCAGGAACGCTGCAGACGAAGGACGAAACCACGTTGAGCCAAAAGACCAGAAGCGACCGTAACGACCAAGTTCGAGACCAAGCGTGTGCCAAGCGTTCGAAACCAATATATCGACTGAGTGCGTTGACAAGAGCATGGGTGGCCAATCCAGCTTTCGCCAAAGTTGACTGAAGTCGACGGAACCAAACGGAGATGGTCGAAGGCGTGGGCTCAGGAAACAAAAAGAAAATCAAAAAAGAAGAGTGTAGCATACGTGTAGTATAGGAATAATCCTACACCGTATCGGTAGCTGACTGTGCGACTATTCGCGGAAGCGTACGGGTAACCGTACTCGGCGACCGGAACGTGAGACGGCAGTCTCGTTCGCGTCGCGTGAGCCTGCAATCTCATCCGAGGTCAGAGGCGGCGTGGTCTGCTGATCTGGACGTGAGACTATCGTCTCGTCCGTAGACGGTGCAGATGACGCGTGCTGTTGACCGGGACGTGAGAATGAGGTCTCAGATGCATCTAGCGTGGGACCTGAAGATTTAAGGATCCCGCTAGGTTTAATAGGTCTAGCATTGAATCTCAGGTTACCAGATAGGGCACTGTCATCGACGTGTGCTGGTTTGAGACGATCAACGCTGACGATCTCGACGCGTCCATGTCGATCAACCTTGAAGGTCTTTTCGTGACGAGCGATCACGTGAAAAGGGCCTTCGTAAGGTTGTTGCCAAGGTTTGCGTACCGAATCTACTCGTACAAAAACATGTGAACAGGTAGATAACTCTCGAGGGAGAGCGACCTGTCGATGTTGTATTCGAGTTGACACCGGAGACAGCGTTCACATAAATGCAGACAGTCGACGGACGTTGTCTGATTTACCGAAATTAGGTCTGCTCCGTGGTGTGAAGGATTCTCCGGGCAGACGCAATGTCGTGCCGTATACAAGTTCAGTGGCGGAACATTGGATATCTGCCTTTAAGCTCGTTCTCCCCCTAAAAGAACGAGCGGTATGGTTTCGTGCCAGTTGCCGTTTTCGTGTGCTCGTAGAACACTTTTAAGTTGGCAGTGAAACCGTTCAACTTAACCATTTGGTGCTGGGTGGTAGACGGAGATGCTTATGCGTATGCATTCCGTACCAAGCAGCCGGGTCAGCGAGGAGAATCGTTAATAGGGTAACATTTCTCGAATAAAGCGTGGAATTCATCATCACGCGAATAAAAAGTGACAAGGATTCGGTACACATACGTGTGAGTCTATTATATTAATACT